ACATGCCTTTAGTCCCAGCACTTGGGAGACAGAGGCAGGTGGATCTCTGTGAGTTTGAGGCCAGTCTGGTCTACAGAGTGAGTTCCAGGACAGCCAGAACTGTTTTGAGAAGCCCTGTCTCGGAAAAAGAGAGAGAGAGAGAGAGAGAGAGAGAGAGAGAGGAGAGAGAGAAAAGGTATTGGTAAACTGCCTAGACTAATCTCAAATTTGATATCTTCCTGCCACAGCCTCCCCAGTATTGGGATTAAAGGCTCTACCACTACATGTGCCACCATGCCAAACAGTTTAAAAACTAAATTCTTAAGAAATTTATTGTATGATGGAGCAGGGTACATACCACAGAGTGTGTGTGTGTGCATGAGAGAGAGAGAGAGGCATGTGTGTCTAAGTCAGAGGACAGACAGCTCTGGTGTGGTTTCCCTCCTTGGATCTTTATGAGGTTCCTGGGTATTGAACTCAGGTTGTCAAGCTTGGGTGGCAAGCCCTTTACCCACTGAGCTCTCTTGCCCAGTTCAAAGATTTAAAAATGGTTGGTCTTTGTGTGTATGTGTGTGTGTGGTTCTGTGCATATGAATGCAGGATACAGTGTAGATCAGCAGTGTCAGACCCTCCTGGAGCTGGAGTTATAGGCAGTTGGGAGCCACCTGACCTGGATGCTGGGACTCTCCAGTTCTTTCCAAGAACATTGCACACTCTTAACTGCTGAGCTATTGGTTCCCCAGTTCAAATACTTGAAGGCAGTAGGGGAGTTAAGCTTGGCAGGATGTTTTGGGTAGAGGGAATAGCTAGTGCTAATAAGTTTTGTGTGTTTGAGGAACACCATGGACCAGTATGGCTAGAATGGGATAAGTAAATACAAGAGGGGTAGGATATGAAGTATGAAAAATGGGAATGGCTGTCTATGGGCTCTGGTTAGGTATAGTAAATTGTGCTTTTATTCTGTATGAGATGGAGACCATTGCAGCATTTTCTTTCTTCTTTTCTTTTGTTTTTTGTTTTGTTTTGAGATGAGTTTTTTTGTTTGGTTTTTGTTTTTGTTTTGAGACAGGGTTTCTCTTTGTAAAAGTCCTGGCTGTCTTGGAACTCACTGTGTAGACCAGGCTGGCCTTGAACTCAGAGATCTACCTGCCTCTGCCTCCCAAGTGCTGGAATTAGAGTGGGCTACCACCTCTAATTGCAGCATTTTCAATATAGAACTCACATGTTCTTACTCCTATTTTACTATAATAACTAGGGTTGCTGTTTTGAGAACAAGACATCTGAAAGGCTGGCACAGTACAGTCAGAACAGTTAGAAATGAGAGCTATTGATCATAACAGGATTGTTGCATTGGAAGTACGAAGCCGTTGAGACCTCGGGTTCTCTGAGGGTGGATCCCGAAGAGCACCTCATGGAAGGCTAGGAGGAGACAACCCTTAGGTTTTGATGCGAGCACCTGTAAAAGCGGAGTTGAGATTGGGCAGACTGCAGGTAACGGGTTCTAGTGAGGAGAGAGGTGAGCGTTGAGCTGTGTTTCGTTCCTGGTAAGTTTTCCTATGGTAATAGGCTGGTGGGTGTGAGTGTGGTGTCGGGTGAAAGATGACAGAGGCCTGAGTCTTGAGACTGCAAAATTGAGAGAGGAGGTGGCAAGAGGAAATGCCCAAGCAGACAGAAACAGGAAGTGAGAAGAGTGGTGCTCAGGGAGAGGCAGAAAAAAGATAAATAAGCCAAGGAAATGTAGGTTTCTTTGTACCTCCCTAGAGCAGTGGTTCTCAACCTGTGGGTTGCGACCCATTTGAGGGGTTGGTTTAAGGACCCTTTCATGGGGGCCACCTAAGACCATTTGCATATCATATTTACATTATGATTCATAACAGTAGCAAATTACAGCTATGAAGTAGCAATGAAAAGAATTTTGTAAAAAAAAAAAAAAAAAAAGGAGAGAGAGAGAGAAAGAAAATGTAGCTAGAGTTTTCCTGCCTGGCCCATGGTCAGGACAAATCTCTGACACCCGCCAGTCCCACAGCCGCTCAGACCCAACCAAGTAAACACAGAGACTTATATTGCTTACAAACTGTATGGCCGTGGCAGACTTCTTGCTAACTGTTCTTACAGCTTAAATTAATCCATTTCTATAAATCTATACCTTGCCATGTGGCTCGTGGCTTACTGGCATCTTCACATGCTGTTTCTCATCATGGCGGCTGGCAGTGTCTCTCACTCAGCCTTCCACTTCCCAGCTTTATTCTCCTCCTTGTCCCACCTACACTTCCTCCTGCCTGACTACTGGCCAATCAGTGTTTTTTTACCAACCAATCAGAGCAACACATATGCCATACAGAACATCCCACAGCAAGAAAAGAATTTTGTGGTTGGGAGTTACCAAGACATGAGGAACAGTGTTAAAGGGTCACAGCATTAAGAAGGTTGAGAAACGCTGTCCTAGAGGATTGTGATGGTAATTTTAGTCCTCTTGGGAACCAGAGCTTTTCCTATAATATATACTGATAGTCTTCGTTTGTTTAAAAAAAAAAAAAAACAACAAAAATAGGTCGTATACAGTCAGACTGGCTTCTTAAACTCCTAGTGGAGGCTAACCCCCTGGCCTTTTTGGGTTTTTTTTGGAGGCAGAATTTTCTCTGGCCAGGTTGACTGTGATCTCCAGCCTCAGCCTCCAGAGTGTGGGGATTGCAGATGTAAGCCATCACACCTAGCATTTATCTTAAAATGTAAACTCAAAGTGTTTTAAAACAAACACAGGACAAATGGACTCTGTTGTATCTTTTGTAGTTCAAGGTACATAATAAGCTCAAAGGCAGCTCAGAGGCAGAACAGTGGAAGTCCATGACCACAATCCGTTCATAAACACCGACAAGATTTCAGCTATTTTAATATAAATCCCAGGGACGGAAGTGATGATTGGAACAAACTATGCTGTCTCTTCTGATGACTAATCTCTAGCATAGAAGCAGAGATGGTCTGTGATTTCCTAGGACTCTCAAGCCCTCTGAACGCTGCTCTTACTTACCATGACTACCTTAGCATGTCAGCCTTACTCTTAGGTGGACTCTTGCCTGGGGCTCTCTTTTTCCTCCTGCTGGGGGGGCGGTGCCTCATCCAATATTGATAGGAGGGTTTGTACTCAGTATTACTGTGCCTTGTTAGGCCATATTTGGTGGCTATCCCTGGGAGACCGGCTCTTCTTTTGAAGGAAAATGGAGGAGTTGATCTGGGAGGAAGGGGAGGTGAGGGAGGGGCTAGGAGGAGTGGCGGCTGCAGAGCTTCAGTTTGGATGTAGTGTGTGAAAAAGAATAAGAACATTTAAAAAAAAAAAAAAAGGAAATTTGGTATTAAGGAAGTGGAAAGGATTTTAACTTTTTTTTTTTTTAAGGAACTTACTTTTTATTATGCACACATACCCTTTTTTTTTTTTAAGATTTATTTATTTATTATGTATACAGTGTTCTGTCTGCATGCATGTCTGCAGACCAGAAGAGGGCACCATATCTCTTTACAGAGGGCTGTGAGCTACCATATGGTTGCTGGAAATTGAACTCAGGACCTCTGGAAGAACAGCCAGTGCTCTTAACCTTTGAGCCATCTCTCCAGCCCGATTTTAACTTTTTTAAAAAATTTATTTTATTTTTATGTGCATTTGTGTTTTGCCTCCATTTATGGCTGTGTAAGGGAGCCTGATGCCCTGGAAGTGGAGTTACAGACAGTTGTGAGATGCCATGTGGGTACTGGGAATTGAACCTGGGTCCTCTTTAAGAGCAGCCTGTGCTCTTAACCTCTGAGCCATCTCTCCAGCCCTGGATTTTAACTTTCTTGAGGGAAAGAAAAACTAACTTTAGAGAGAAGCTAGTCAAATACAAAGAACTCTCTGTTCCAGTGGTTGGTACAGTGGCAAGGGAAATGCTGTGGTACTAGACCTGGCCATAGATCAACAGCCCCAGATTTAAAATAGAAGAATCTGAAATCTGAATTCCTTTGGGGGAAAGCAAAAAAAAAATTTTTTTTTTGTTTGTTTTTCCAGACAGGGTTTCTCTGTGTAGTTTTGGTGCCTGTCCTCGATCTCGCTCTGTAGACCAGGCTGTCCTCGAACTTCAAACTCACAGAGATCCACCTACTTCTGCCTCCTGAGTGCTGGGATTAAAGGCGTGTGCCACCACTGCCCAGCAAATAAAATATCTTTAAAAATTGTTTTAAACGGTCAAGCATGGTGGTGCATACCTTTAAATTCTAGCACTGAGGAGGTAGAGGCAGACAGATTTCTGAATTCCAGACTAGACTGATCTACAGAGCTAGTTCCAAGACAGCCAGAGCTACACAGAGAGGACACCCCCCACCCCCGGAAAAAAACAAACAAAAATTATTTTTACAACCTGTCAGAAAGGCTTTTCCTTTGTACCTTCAGCAGAGAAGTTTTGAAACTAGCATGACCTGGTGTTTGAGGTAAAAACTCTTCTCTTGAGAAGAGCAAATTTAGGGCCATCCTGGGTGATGTGGGGAAACTCTTTCCTAAAAAAATAAACATAAAAATAAAACTGGCTCAGAATTTCAGTGTGGATGATGGACGCCCATGCTCTGTAGGTAGATGGATGATGGCAGTGGTTGTGCAGCAGTGTGAATGCATTTAATGCCACTGAGTTGTGCACTTAATGTTTAGAATGCAAACAAAACCCAAACCCTTCCCTTGAGTCAGGATGAGACCCTGAACAGAGCATACTGCTGTGACTGTTTTTTCTGATCCTTTCCTCTTGGAAGGTTACCTAACTGGGTTTGTTGTCATCTTGATGGTTGTGACATGATATATCTCTGAAGTAAAATTCTCAGAGTACTTGGAATTGTAGGAGAGCTTGTGCACACAGAATAGTGGGTGGAAGAGACCAAAGCTGCATCACTTTAGGAAGTTTCCCAGCTGCCTGTTACCCGCCGGTAGTGGCATGAGACACAGCAGGGACACTGACTGGCCAGATGTTTTGATTCCTTTTCTTGATTTCCTGTCTTCTTCTTTCTAGAACAGAACAATAAGCTAAGAGGACTCTGACCATTGGCCTCCCACTAGCCAGGATCAACTAGCTCTCCTTCTGTGGTCCATGAGCTGCATCGTCTGCCATCAGTGTGCAACCGGCCCCCAACGCAATGTGTGTTTGTCAAACCATGGAAGTGGGGCAGTATGGCAAGAACGCAAGTCGGGCCGGAGACCGAGGGGTCCTCTTGGAGCCCTTCATCCATCAGGTGGGCGGACACAGCAGCATGATGCGGTACGACGATCACACTGTGTGCAAACCTCTCATCTCCCGGGAACAGCGTTTCTATGAGTCTCTCCCTCCTGAAATGAAGGAATTCACCCCTGAGTACAAAGGTCAGTCAGTGGTCCTTTTTGTGAGCCTAGCAATCTTTGACAGGCTTTGGGCTCAGTTGTCCTTGTCTTGTTTGCCCTGTGATGTGTTGGTAGTTCTCTGTTATCTCAATTCTCTTAGGCAAGATTAGAAACTGAAATTCTCAGGAAGGTTTTTAGATCATGAAAATTGAATTAATTGATAGTAAAGCCGAGAAACATTCACAGCAAGAAGACCATTGATAGAGAAAAGCCTGTTGTCAAGGAGCCCCTTGTTTACCACACAAATCTAGGGGAGAACGGGACAGTCTTTGGTCCCTGAGGAGGGTAGAGGGGTACTTTCCAGGCTTTCAAGTAATTGGACAGCTGTCAAGGGCATGGTGCGGTGCTGTGTCTGTGTGTGTGTGCTGGAGAGGTGTGTTTATGGAATATTCTGATGCTCTGAAGTTTTAACATGTGAAACTGTTTTAAGTGCTAATTTTAGCTGGGCAGTAGTGGCACACACCTTTAATCTCAGCACTCAGGAGGCAGAGGCAGGTAGATGTCTGTGAGGTCGAGGCCAACCTGGCCTACAGAACGAGTTTAAGGAAAGGCACCAAAGCTTCAGAGAAACCCTGTCTTGGAAAAAAAAAAAAAAGGTAAGAGCTAATTTTATCGGACAGAAAGAACTCTGTGGCTGTTGGAGTCAGGCAACTTTAGCATCTTTTTTTTTTTACTCTTGGCATGGTCAGACACCGGACAGCCTGGGAATTGAACCTGGGTCCTCTGTAACATCAGTCAGTGCTCTTAACCACTGAGCATCTCTCTCCCTCTTAGCATCGGACCTTTGCATTCTCTATGTACATTAATTACTATCGGGCCCATTTTTTCTCTTTTCTTTCTTTTTTTTTTTTAAAGATTTTATTTATTTATTATGTATACAATGTTCTGCCTGCATGTATGTCTGCAGGCCAGAAGAGGGCACCAGATCTCATTACAGATGGTTGTGAGCCACCATGTGGTTGCTGGGAATTGAACTCAGGACCTCTGGAAGAGCAGCCAGTGCTCTTAACCTCTGAGCCATCTCTCCAGCCCCTTCTTTCTTTTTTTAAAGACAAGGTTCTGTTATCTGTTATGTAGCTCTAGATGTCCTAGAACTCACTATGTAGGCCAGGCTGACCTTGAACTCACAGAGATCCACCTGCCTCTGCCTCCTGAGTGCCAGGATCAAAGGGGTGCATCACTATACTTGGCCTATCCAGTTGTCTTAGTCGGTATTACTGTGAAGAGACCATGACCACTGCAACTCTTATAAAGGAAAGCATTTAACTGGGGATGACTTACAGTTTCAGAGGTTTAGTCCTTTATTATCATGGTGGGACATGGAGGTGTGCCGACAGACATGGTAGGCTGCTTCACGCCACCTGATCAGTCTTCACCACCAAAAGAGCTCGACCCCCTTTCTCCTCCCTTTGAAGCACTGCCTCTATCAGGCCAGATATCAGACCAGATATCGGGGAGGAGAAAGGGGCTGCGCTCTTTGGGTGATGAAGACAGGATCAGGTGTCACAAAGCACTGTGGGATCGGTCCCCAGCTTTCCAAGGACTCTGCAACTAGATTTACCTATCCTGTATCAGTGAGTCTGTTTTCCCCATAGAACCCCCTAATAAATTGATAGATATAGACCATTGAGGCTCTTGTCGTTACAGGGGTGTGTGTGTGTGTGTGTGTGTGTGTGTGTGTGTATGCTTACCAACGGGTGTTGTATTACTCTGAACTAATAAGTGTTTGTGGGACTCCAGGCTTGTTATGTGGGTGCTGAGATCTGAACTTTGGTCCTCCTGATGTATAGTAGACACTCTTAATTGCTAAGCTATCTCTTCCAGTCCTTGTAATATTGTTTAAAACCAGGGTGGAGAGATGGCTTAGTGAATATGAGCATGGGCTGCTCTTGCAGACACCTGAATTTGGTTCCCAGCTCCCACATGGTGGCTCACAACTGCCTGTAACTCCAGTTCCAGGGGATTTAATGTTACTCTTCTGAGTACTGCATGCATTGGGTGTACTTAAATATATAAATACATGTAGTCAAAACATTCATACACATAAAAGTGAATATGTCTTTCAAAAATTAAACAATTTAATTATGATTTTAATCATGTTAACATGTTTTATTTAGGGGAATTTCAATTTAGAACAAGCCAAGTAAGAGTTGAGTTTTTTTCTTTTTCTTTTCTTTCTTTCTTTTTTTTTTTTTTTTTTTTTGGTTTTTTGAGACAGGATTTCTCTGTGTAGCCCTTGCTGTCTGGAAACTTATTCTGTAGACCAGGCTGGCCTTGAACTCACAGAGATCTATCTGCTTCTGTCTCTCGAGTGCTGGGGTTAAAGTTGTGTGCCACCACCACCTGGCTGACTTTTGATTCTTTAACTCTGAAAAACTATTATGGGAAAATACATAATATAAAGTTTACCATTTTAATGTATAATTTAATGGCATTAGTTACATTCACAAGGTTGTGTAGCTATAACAACTGTTCATTGTGAAACAAATACTCAGAACATACTAAATAAAAACCTCCCTGTTCTGCCTGTAACTGAGCCCTGGTAACCTTGAGTCTACTTTCTCTACAAAATAATGTAGCTTTTTCATAGAAATGAAATTGTACACTTATTGTCATTTGTACCTGGCTAATTTCACTTAGTGTGTATTTAAGGTCCATCTATTTCATAGCATGTGTGTGAATTGCATATGGGGGCTAGAGTTGTAGCTCAGTGATAGAGTGCTTGTGTAATGTGAGTGAGGTCCTAGGTTTGATTCCCAGGGCCACAAATAAAACAAAATTTAATAGCAAAACAAAACTTTTGTACCATGGTATACATGCAGAAGACAGAGGGCAGCTTTCAGGAATGGCTTCTCTCCTGCCACTATGTGGGCTCTAGGGATTGAGCTCATGCCATCAGACCTGGCCACAGGTTCCTTTACCCACTGAGCCATCGCAGGCCCTCTTAAAATTTTTTAATGAGAGCTGGAGAGATGGCTTGGTGGTTAAGAGTGCTTGTTGCTCTTTTAGAGGACCCAGGTTCAATTCCCAGCACCCACGTGGAGGCTATAACCATCTGTAACTCCAGTTTCAGAAGATCTGACATCCTCTTCTGACCTCTGTGGGTACTGCATGCATGTGGTGCATCAACATGCCCTCAGGCACAAACACATACATACATAAAGTAAAAATTAAAAAATGGCAGGTTAGTAACATTCATGTTGCTTCTTTCTTTTGGCTGTTGTGACTAATGCTGCTGCGTACAAAGATCTGAGTCCTACTGTTCAGTTCTGATGTGCATACTTAAGATTTTATGGCAATTCTGTGTTTACCTTTGCTGTTGCGTTTTGTTTTTTTACAGTACTGGGGATTGAGCCTCGGGCTTTGAATGGACTAGGCAGGCACTCGACCACTGGATCATTTTTCTATTCCTTTGTTTTTTGAGAATGCTAGGAAGCATTCTACCCACTGATCTCCAGAGCCTGGTTTTTGATTGGTAAAAAGAGTTAAGGCAGTTTTTAGGCAGCTCTGGCTTGGGTTTTTATGGTGGTGTTTTGTTTTTACCCTGCGTTTACTTGTACTTGGGATTGTGTTTCCTCTTGTCCACAGCTCTTCTCATCCCTCAATGCTAAAATGTGCTAAATGCTGTGCTCTGGAGGTATCATCATTTGCCATTACAGACCCTCATCTAGTTTCTTCACTTCTTGTAATTTGTAATTGTTTTGTATATGTTTATTTGCTTGTCAAAAGCAAAAGCTAAAGATAGATATGGAAGGAAGTATCTTTCTCATGATGGAGGCATCTGTGGCTACCTTTGTACATAGTGATGAAGCAACACCTCCCTTGATACCAAGGACTGAGACAAGCTTGTCTACACCCCTCCATTCCTAGTCAGCACTTTACTGGGAGTTCTAGCCTGTGCTGATACATCTGAGTTGGAAAGGAAAACATAAAATTGCATTTGCAGCGAGCATAGAACTCTTTCTTCAGCTAAACTATTACTTGAACAAAGGATTCAGAGAATTGACGTCGCAGAATTTTCTTAGGGAATTCCTGAAGATCTTTTCTAGCCACACAAAGACTAAATCAAGATGGGAAAATAGAGACTGATAGAGTGGTTCTTCTCTTGAAGTGTGTGATAGTGCTGGGGACAGTCAAGAGTAGAGTGTGAGGGAACTCCCAGAAGGTAAGACTGTACACTGGAGGGTGTTCAACCTTGAACCAATTCCAAAGACAGTGGTGACAGCCTGCCAGAGAGACAGTCATGTAATAATATACATGGACAGGTTGTGCATGGGAAACCCTCTGAGGCATGAGTTTGAGCAATATGTAAGATGTAAAGAGGAAATAATCCATTCCTTTGATTTGGAAGTAGTTTTCTTCTAATAGGCCCCAGAGACTGGTGCAGTGCTGGCCTAGAGAAGGAAATGAGTGGACGAGAACACTCTTGGTCTGGCATATTGACACGTTTGTAAGTGTATCTCATTCGCTCAGTGTAGAGTACAGAGCCGGTTGTACACAGCAAGAGGGTAAAAGTAGAGTGCCCTGGATGGACCCTAGGTGGGATATGGAAGTTAGACAGAGAGTTGCTTTATTGTTGGTTTTTCGTTTTTAAAAAACTTCTTAGGGTTGGGGATTTAGCTCAGTGGTAGAGCGCTTGCCTAGTCAGCTGCAAAAAAAAAAAAAAAAACCTTCTTGATTACATTTCTGGGTATTGTTTCTGTTTTATCTCTTTTGGTAATGATCTGGAAAAAACTAATTTGGTTGACAAATAGACCAGGAGCTAGAGAATTGGCTTAGCAGTTAAGAGTACTTCCTGTTCTTGCAAAGGTTTGGTCCCTGTTCTTTACACGAAGGCTCTCGACCACCTATAGCTCCAGTTCCAGGGATCTGATGCCCTTGCCTGGCTTTGTGTGAAACACCTGCGTACATGCAGGCAGAAGACTTGTGCATACTAAAAGTGAGAGTAGAAGCTGGCCGTGGTGGTGCACACCTTTGATACTAGCACCTGGGAGGCAGAAGCAGGTGGGTCTCTGTGATCTGTGATTTGGAAGAGGCCAGGGTTACTTAGTGAGAGTTAAAGACTTGGTCGAGCACACCTACAGGTTACAACCCTAGCACTTGGGAAGTGGAGGCAGGAAGAACAGTTTAAGGTCATCATCCACTTCATAGTGAGTTTGAGGTTCACCTGGGCTACCCAACAAAAATAAAAAAATGGAGAGAACAAATTATTCCATGGGATATAGTAGGGAAATAGAGGAAGGCATTTCACCTTGGAGATTCCAGGGTAGAAGTTGTGTATGGGAAGCTAGGAAAGCACTGTGCTCAGTATGGGAAGAAAGGACTTGGTATGAGCACTGTCTTGGAGATAGTTTGTTGGATATGATAAGATAAAAAGGGAGATTATTGAATCTACTTCTTAAAAGGAACTACTTGTTTTATATAGGATAAGTAATGAAAATTTTTTGTCTGAGTTTATCAAATGTTAATTCACATTACATTGTTAATATAATTCTTGACTGTAACCTTTTATTATTTTAGACAAAAAAGGGGAAATGTGATATTGTGTTCCCCAAAATATTGTGCACCCTAATAAACTTATCTGGGGTCAGAGAACAGAACAGCCACTAGATACAGAGGCCAGAAAAAACGGTGGCACACACACCTTTAATCATATCACTTGGGAGGATGGATCTCTGAGTTTAAAATCACACTGGAAACAGCCAGGCATGGTGACTCACACCTTTAATCCCAGGAAGTGATGACAGAAAGCAGAAAGGTATATAAGGTGTGAGGACCAGGAACTAGAGCTGGTTAAGCTTTCAGGCTTTCGAGAAGCAGTTCAGCTGAGATCCATTCGGATAAGGACACAGAGGCTTCCAGTCTGAGGAAACAGGATCACCTGAGGAATTGGTGAGGCGAGGAAGCTGTGGCTTGTTCTGCTTCTCTGATCTTCCAGCATTCACCCCAATACCTGGCTTCAGGTTTGTTCTTATTAATAAGACCATTTAAGATTCATGCTACATCTGGCGCCCAACATTCGTGGTACAAATTCTTGAAAAAGCTACTTGCCTGTGGCCTTGTGGGCCCCTGCTCAGACCTGAGCTATACTCGGCCGGTTGTGGTAGAGCACGCTGGTTAGATTTACTGAAGGAGGCAGAGGCAGGAGGATCCCAAGTTTGAGGCCGGCCTAGGAGGCTTGCTGAGAAGCTGCAGGCAGGGCCAAGCTGAGCCACAAACAGTGGCAGTGGGACCATGGAGGCAGCGGCTGCTGCTCCAAGTTGCTGGCTCCTTCTCATCATGTTGGTGACTGCGGTGATGCTGCTACCTGGGACGAAGGGTTTACTACTGCTTGTTAAGAGAAGAATTGCCAGGACCATCGTGTTACAAGAAAGCATTGGCAAAGGCCAGTTAGAAAAGTTTTGCAAGACGGATGGTGGGGAGAAATTGCTGTGAAGATTTTCTGTTCTAGGGAAGAACATTCATGGTTCCGAGAGACAGACATTTATCAGACTGTGATTGCTCCAAATCACAGAGGAGGCAAAAAACAAAAATTCTGCAGGGAACCATGACCACGCCTAACAACAACTTTGAAATCTTCAAAAGGATGGCGGGACCGCACAAAGATGATTCCACATGGACTATGATAAAGCCATTAAGCTGATTAACACCACGGAAAGATTGACTTTGGACTACAAACTGTTCAGGACAATTTCAAGATGGCTAGCTGAGATGATTCAGATTCATAGACAACTCAAGCAAGGACTTGAGATAAGCCCTACATTTTCCCATTATGCAGATACTGGACAAATGATACAGCTAAATCTCTCAGGACTTGACAATTAACCCAAAAAATTTTCTTTTCAGGATTCCCTAAAGATGCCTTCACCCCTAGAAAGCAGGAAGTAATTTTAAGAAAACGATGCCCACATTCCCAAGAGGTGGGGTGGGTGTTTTTTTGGTCGTTCCATGACTTAGAGATACTGTCATTGTTTATGATGGTTGTTTACAAGTTGTTAATTGTTAATGGTCAGGGAAAAAACCGAACAAGGAGATTAGATTCAGAGTTTTTGTTTAAAAAAAAGAAAAAAGAGAATATAGATATGAGGTAGATCATTGAATCTACTCTGAGGAAAAAAGATAAAGAAATAATAGGATAAATGGGTAGATCATTGAATCTACTCTAAAAAGAAAAAGGGGAAGATATAAAAATGACAAAAGGTAGATTATTGAATCTATTATGACAAGAAAAAAGAGAGAATATGGGTATGATAAGATAAAAAGGGAGATTATTGAATCTACTTTTTAAAAGGAACTAGTTTTACGTAGGATAAGTAATGAAAATTTTTTGTCTGAGTTTATCAAATGTTAATGGACTAGACAGTTTGTTTCTTTGGGTGACAAGTCAGGCAGAAGAAAAACAGATCAATGATGTCACTGACATGAGATGGGATCATCTCAAAGCTGTTGAAAAGAAGGAGGGTTACATTTTTTTCATAAAGTATCTTCTGAAAAAAAATTTTTTTTTTTCCTTTAGAGACAGGATTTCTTTGTGTGGTCATGGCTGTTCTATAACTCACTCTGTAGACCAAGCCAGCCTTGAATTCACAGAGATCTACCTGCCTCTGCCTTCTGAGTACTGAGATTAAAGATGTGGGTCACCACCACCCCACTTTGAAAAAAATTGTATTTTTATGTTATGTGCGTGGGTGTTGGCAGGTATGTCTTTGTACCACCTGCATCCCTGGTGCCTATGGAGCCAGATGAGGGCATCCGATCCCCTGGAGCCAGAGTTAACAGACAGTTGTGAGCCACCATGCTGGAAATGAGCCTGGGTACTCTGCAAGAGCAACAAATGCTCTTGACTGCTGAGCCATGTCCCTGACCCCTAGAGCATTAAAATTTGTCTGGTTTGATGTCACCTAGAGATGATTCTTTGTGAGTGGTACAGAAATCATTCACTAAAAGCAGAAGGGAGAAGTCAGAATAGAAAATAATTAGAGATTTATCCTCAAAGGTAAGCAGCAGATTGAGGGTAAAGATGGTTGTCTGTCTTTGCAAAATGGATGTCTGCTGGCTATGATCCCTAGTTGATTCACAGCTGGGTCAGGACAGGTGATGTCCATGTGCTATGGGAAAGTAGGAGCAGACACGGACCCCCCACCAGTGTTGATATTTGTTAATCAGCTGCTTTTTCTCCAACAGGCGTGGTTTCTGTCTGTTTTGAGGGAGACAGTGATGGTTATATCAACTTGGTAGCCTACCCTTACGTGGAGAGTGAGACTGTAGAGCAAGATGACACACCAGAACGGGAGCAACCTCGACGTAAACACTCCCGCCGGAGCCTGCATCGGTCAGGCAGTGGTAGTGACCACAAGGAGGAGAAAGCCAGCCTGTCCTTTGAGACCTCTGAGAGGTAAGAGGACAGCATGCAGAGCTGTTGGCACATGCTGCATCCTAATGACACACACAGGACAGTGTTGGAGTCCTGACACATGATGAGAAAGTAGTTCTCAACAACAGGGTGGTGGTGGGGTAGGGCTGGCTGGTGTGCGTGGGCCCTCCCACAGGTGTGTTCCACCACCTCAGTGATGTTCCTTCTGAGTATGGCTAAACCCAGTTAAGAAGCTGGGAGCTCTGCCAGTCCTTCAGAAGCGGGGATGCCTATGCTCATGGCGATAGGTTATTTAGCTTTCTTTTAAGTCTCATGCTCAGAAGTCAGAAGTTGAATTGCACTGATTAGCTACTTTCTTACCTATGGGATGTCTGAGCATGGAGTATTGATAGTTCATACAGACTAGAGTGCCCTAGTGGTTTTTGTTCAGACTGAGAATCTGGTATCTTTTCCCTGCTCCTAAAATTTACATTGGGTATTATTTTTCTCAAGATTATGTCTCTGTCTCTGTCTCTGTCTCTGTCTCTGTCTCTCTCTCTCTCTCTCTCTCTCTCTCTCTCTCTCAAGACAGGGTTTTACAGCATTGGCTGTCCTGGAACTCGCTCTGTAGACCAGGGTGGTCTCGAACTCACAGAAATCTGCCTGCCTCTTCCTTCCCAGTGCTGGGATTAAAGGTGTGCACCACCACTGCTGGGCAGGATTGTGTCTCTTGATATTCCATGCAGGCATTAGTTAATTTTTAATGAGTTGAGTCTAATCGAAGTTGACAATCGAAGCCTGGTTGTAATCACAGCACTCACCAAGCTGAGGCAGGAGGATCATTGCATGTTTGAACACAGCCTGTGCTGCATAACAAGTTCCAGAATAACCTGGGCTACATAGTGAGACCTTGGGGGAGAAAAAAAAGTGGGGTTAAGAATGCTTCCTGAAACAATAAAATATGGGTGGTGATTGGATACTGTGAAAAATGAGGCCAAAATGTTCTCTGGATAGACCAGGCTGGCCTCGAATTCAGAGATTCACATGCATTTGAATCCAGAGTGCTGGGGTTAAAGTTGTACATCACTATGCTTGGCAAAAAGAAAAAAGAAAAAAATTAATAACTTTAAAAAAAAATGCTTCCTGAACTTCAGGAGGACCCAAGTTCAGTTCCCAGCACCCTCACAACTGCTTTTAACTCCAACTTCGGGGCTTTCAATGTCTTCTGGTCTCTGCAGGCACCTCCACATACATGGCATACACAGGCATATATTTAAAAAAAAAAAGTTGGCAGGTGTGGTGACACATGACTTTAATCTCAGCACTTGGAAGGCAAAAGCAGTTGGATCTCTGTGAGTTCAAGGCTAGCCTGGTTTACATAGAGTTCCTGGTCAGTCAGTGATAAGTAGTAAGACCTTGTCTCTAAATAGATAGATAGATAGATAGATAGATAGATATGCACACACTCACATCCATGTTGTCAGTACTGTTTTGTTGTTAGACAAGCTTCACTATGTCCTTTGGCTGGCATAGAATTCACATGTAGACCAGGCTCGCCTCAAACAAATGGTAATCTCCCATCTTTACCTCTCAAGTGCTGGGATCACAGGAGTATGCCACCATGCCCAACCATGTGTTCCTTTCTGAATATTCCATCCTATAGATATACCATCTTTTGTTTTCTCCATTCATCAGGTTGTGATGAACCTGTAAGGTTGGCTATGCCTGTGGAAGTGGTCCACGAGCACTGGCCATCCTCCACCCCTGTTGTTGAAAACTTTCTGTGTATCTCTCTATAGATACAGATATATGGAGTTTTCTGTGTATATTTACATAGATAGAGATAGATAGATAGACATAGATAGAGATGTTCACAGGGATGTGGAGAAATTGGAACCTCCTACATTGCTTGTGGGGAGGGTTGCAAATGGTACCGTCTTAAATTTCTGTTCCTCCTGTCCCCGCCTCCCTAGTGCTGGGATTACAGGCAGTTACGGCCATGCCAGGTTTACATAGTGTTGAGGAGAGAACTCAGGGCTTTCTTGCATGCCAAACATAGACTCTACTGACCAAGCTACATCCCTAGCCATAAGGAAGGTTTTTGTTTTTTGTTTTTTGTTTTTGTTTTTTTAAAGATGTATATGAGTGTTCTATCTACATGTATACCTGCAATACAGAAGAGGGCATCAGATCCTATTACAGGTGGTTGTGAGCAACCATGTGGTTGCTTGGAATTGAACTCGGGACCTCTGGAAGAGCAGGCAGTGCTCTTAACTGCTAAGCCATCTCTCCAACCCCATAGGGAAGTTTTTAGATGGGGCAGTAAACTTTTCACCCCTGGCATCAGATCACTTCTCTGGAACATGCTGCCCACATGAGCTCCCAGAGGCTTGTTGAGGGCCCAGGGCAGTCCACTCTCCTCACTTAGGCGTTAAGAGGTCCTGTTCATGTTAATACTGAAACCTTGTACGCCTGTTCCTCCCCCGTCCTTTAGGCTAAGTCTTCATCTGTGCTGCAAGGAGAGGGCTGCACACCCACACCTTAGTGAAGATGCATGTCTTGGTGTTGGATATTCTGAGGGCTTCTACCTGCAAGAGCACTTCCTTTACTTCGTCTCCATGATCCACAAGGGGCTTCCTCTTGACTAACAACTGTAGGACCTAACTTGGGCATTCGGGAGACAGACATTCCAGTCAGTAGGTAGTGACTGATGATTCTCTTTTAGCAGTTTTTAGAGGGGGAATTGTTTTGTTTTTCAAGGCGACAGCCTTTGCTTTATGAATCATGGTGAGAAGCTAGTGAGTGTAGGTTAGCTTCAGGGTCTGCTGTGAAGGTGCCAGCTCGGTCTGCATTGACTAGATGCCTGTCTGGCTTGTTAGCAGAGATTCTGTGTCATACCAAAGGTGGAGATGACTCCCCAGGGCCAGGACTATAACTCCAGAGGTAATGCCAAGTCCTACAGGGGCCCCATCCAGACCTGCAACTTGTCTGGGTTTACTTGGCAAGTGATTTCTTTTTTTTTTTTTTTTTTTTCGAGACAGGGTTTCTCTGTGTAGCTTTGCGCCTTTCCTGGATCTCGCTCTGTAGACCAGGCTGGCCTCGAACTCACAAAGATCCGCCTGCCTCTGCATCCCGAGTGCTGGGATTAAAGGCGTGTGCCACCACTGCCCGGCGGCAAGTGATTTCTAAAGTGGACCTGCATCTGCTTTTGGGAAGTTGGGGAAGGGTTGCAGGCATTGTTGGACTCCTGTAGTTCAGAGGTCTTTGCATGGGGGCCTTTTAACAACCATTACAGAGGTATCCCAAATGCTTGGTGCTTAGAGGAGGGGCAGCAGTTTGAGCACACACTAGACCTGCTGGGTTGTGTATGTCATAGCACAGTTGGAGAAGAGCATTTCTGGAAAGGAAGATAACATTTGAAATTGCAATGGTGCTCTGCCTCTGCTGTATGCCACAGACTTTGTCTACATTCCTAGAGTGTATGGCTTCACTAGCAGTGAGGCTTTGTGGACTTGTGAGTGTGAAAAGTTATATTGCCAGGCGCATCTGGACCTCACTAGGTAGCCTTGAGATTCTTGATCCTCCTGCCTCTACCTCCTGTCAGGATTACAGGCATGCACTACTGTAGCAGGAATCTTAACAGGTCTTATTAATAAAATCAAACCTGAAGCCAGGTATTGGGGTGAATGCTGGAAGATCACAGAAGCAGAACAAACCACAGCCACCTCACCTCGCCAGTTCCTCAGCTGATCCTGTTTCCTCAGACTGGATGCCTCTCAGCTGAACTGTGCTGCTCAAAAGCCTAAAAGCTTAATCTGCCTAGTTCCTGGTTTTCATGCCTTATATACTTTTCTGCTTTCTGCCCTCACTTCCTGGGATTAAAGGCGCGAGTCACCATGCCTGGCTGTTTCCAGTGTGGCTTTGAACTCACAGAGATCCAGATGGATCTCTGCCTCCCAAGTGATAGGATTAAAGGCGTGTGTGCCACCATTTTCTGGCCTCTATGTCTAGTGGCTGTTCTGTTCTCTGACCCCAGATAAGTTTATTAGGGTGCACAATATTTTGGGGAACACAATATCACCACACACTACAATGTCTGGTGGGGATCAAGCCCATGACCTTATCCATGGTAGGCAAGCACTCTACTGACTAAGCTACATCCTTAGCCCCTTTTTGAGTATATACCTAGATGGGAAGTTGCAATCAAGTAATCCTCTTTAACTCCAGGAATTTTTTTTAGACACTGTTCCCCCATTTGTGTGTGTGTAGGAGGGTGTGTGTACATGTGGGTGTGCATGCATTTGGAGGCCAAGGTTGAAATCAGAAATCATTCTCAATCACTCTGCCTTATTTGTTGAAGCAATGTCTCTCAGTCAAATTCAGAGCTCACCAGTTCACCAGTATGGCTTGTCTCGATACTCATACTAGGCTCTTCTGGGAATCCCCTGTGTATTAGAGTTCTCTAGAGGAATAGAACTGATCACACACACACACACACACACACACACACACACACACACACACACACACACACACACACGGTGATTTATTAGAATGGCTTACCAGATGTGGTCCAGCTACTCCAACAATGACTATCTCCCATAGAAAGTTAGAGAATCCAGTAGTTGTTTAGTCTGTGAGTCTGATGTCTCAGTTAGTCTTCAGTATAAGCCGGAATCCTGAAGAAGTAGGCTTTCATGCTAGTGAAGTAATGAACTTGTCAGCTAGTGTGAGGGCAAGCAGGCATAGAGCAAAAGCTTCCTTCTCCCATGTTCTTTATATAGGCTCCCAGCAGACAGTCTGGGCCAGATTGAAGGTGGGTCTTCCCACTTAAAATGGTTAAAGAACACTCCCTCACAGATGTACCCAGCTGCTTGGGTTTTAGTTCATTTCAGATGTAGTCAAATTGACAACCAAGAATAGCCATCACATCCTGTCTTTGCCTTCTGAAGGTTGGAATTCCAGCCTAGCTACTGCACTCATCCAGCATAACACAGGCTCTGGGATCCAAACTCCAGTTCTCAGGCTTGTGCGGTGAGTGCTTTACCACTGAGCCATCTTTTCCTTTGTTTGTTGGCTTGTTTTTCTAGATAGGATTTCTCTGTATAGTCCTGACTGTCCTGGAACTAGCTCTGTAGACCAGGCTAACCTCAGACTCACAGAGATTCTTCTACCTCTGCTTCCTGAGTGCTGACATTAAAGATGTGTGCCACTGTTAGCCACCACCGCCCGGCTAACCCCTTGAGCCATCTTTACCACCTAGCCAATCCTGGTTTTGTTTTGTTTTTTTGCTTTTCGAGACAGGGTTTCTGTGTGTGGCTTTGGAGCCTGTCCTGGGACTTTCTCTGTAGACCAGGATGGCCTTGAACTCAGATCTGCAAGCCTCTTCCTCCCAAGTGCTGGGAGTCAATCCTGTTTTTTAGGTAGGATTTCTCTGGCTTGCCCATGATAGTCTGGTCTTAAACTTCGGTGCTCAAACAGTTCTGCCACATTAGCCTCCTGAGCATCTGGGACTATGGCGTGCTCTGCACCTAGCCTGTGAAGACACCAAAGTACTTTGTCAGGGGCTGTAGTAGTTGATATTTGCACCGACAGTGTACTGGGAAGGCTCCAGCCTCTTTACAGCCTACGTGGCACTTGTTCTAGTTTTTACCTTTTCTTTTAAAGATTTATTTACATTTTTATTTTTAATTACATGTATATATGTTTGTCTGTGTGTGGGTATGTATGCCTGAGTTTAGATGCCTGCAAAACATACAGGAGTGTTAGATCTTCCTGGCCCCTGGCACAGTCCAAGCAGTCATGAGCCCCTCATGTTGGTGCTGGGAACCAAGCTCCAGTCCTCTGCAAAAGCTGTAGGTACTCTTAACTACTGAACCATCTCTCCAGTACCTAGTGTTTTCTTTTTTTTTTCCAACTGTTCCCCCCTCCCCCCTCTAATCACACACAGGGTCTCTCTGTATCCCTGACTGTCCTGGAACTCACTCTGTAGACCAGGCTGACCTGAACTGTCAGAGATCTGCCTGCCTCTGCCTCTGCCTCCTGAGTGCTGAGATCAAAGGTGTGAGCTACCACACCTGGCCTTTTTTTTTTTTTTTACTATTTAAATTAAGTACCATTTATTATTGGGTATGTGGGTGTGAGTGTGCATGTCCCTTATGTGTGCCTAGAGGTCAGAGGACGAATTTGTGAAGTTGGTTCTTCCCGTCTACCTTATAGATCCTGGGGATCCAACTTGGGTTGCCAGGTTTGTGCAGCAAGTGCCTTTACCCACTGGCCCATGCTGCCAGGGTCCAGATTTTTCTTTTGATGCTAATTAAATGGGAAGTGTTATCATATGCTATAATTGACATGATTATTTTTCAGGCAGTTTTCTGAGGCCCAGGAGGATAGCTCTTATTCTGTTCACTCACTTTCCCCGGGGCCAGTGCCACCTGTAAGTAGGTTCTGAGTGACAGGCTAGGCTTGTTCGAATCTTCTCTACCTGTGTCCCTAAAGATGACTTCTTCTCTATCTCTTAGTGGTGTGTGTGTTCTTCCTTCTTAGCTCCCAGGAGGCAAAGAGTCCAAAGGTGGAGCTGCACAGCCACTCCGATGTCCCTTTCCAGATGCTGGACAGCAATAGCGGTCTGAGCTCCGAGAAGATCAGCTACAACCCCTGGAGTCTGCGCTGCCACAAGCAGCAGCTAAGCCGCATGCGCTCCGAGTCCAAGGACCGAAAGCTCTACAGTATCCTTGTCCACCGATCGGAAATGGTGTGAGAAAACGGCGGGGTCGCTTTGTTCTTATCTTGGGTTTGGGTCTGGGGACTGAATCTGGGCCTTCATTCCTGCCCAATCACTTGCTCTACCCTCTTACTCTCAAGACAGGTATTTTTAAGTGTTTTTTTTTTTTTAAATTAGCATATATTAGACATAATAGTTTTTTTTGTTTGGTTTTTGGAGACAGGGTTTCTCTGTGTAGTTTTGGTGCCTGTCCTGGATCTCGCTCTGTAGACCAGGCTGTCCTTGAACTCACCGCCACCCGGTGACATAATAGGTTTCATTGTGAGATTTTTATATGTGCACATAGTGTATTTTGATCCTGTGCACCCCTTGTGTTCTCTAGTGTCTCCCACTAACCTTCCTCCTCCCGACTAGCTCCCCTTCTGCTCCCTGTTGTGTGTCCAGGAAGTTGCACGGTGTTATTTGCAGGAATCTGGGTACCTTACACCACAGGGGGGTGTAGGGGGGAGTCTTTTTCTCCCTCTCAACCATTGACTGAGTGTAAAGCCTCAGGGAGATGGCCCTCTGAGCCCCTCTTCCTTCCATGACTGGTCTCGCACAGGTGATGATAGCTGTCTCAAGTGTTAAAGAAAAGAGGACAGCTACCATGTCATGTCATGCATTGTGCCCTTTCTCTGGCTTGATCTTTCTTTCTTTCTTTCTTTCTTTCTCTCTCTCTCTCTCTCTCTCTCTCTCTCTCTCTCTCTTTCTTTTTTTTCAAGACAGGGTTTCTCTGTGTAGCAACTAACTCTGTAGACCAGGCTGGCCTTGAACAAAGAAATCCACCTGTCTCTGCCTCCTGAGTGCTGGTATTAAAGGTGTGTGCCGGGTGGGTGGCGTTGGTGTATGCCTTTAATCCCGGCACTTGAGAGGCAGAGCCAGGCAGATCTCTGTGAGTTTGAGGCCATCCTAGATCCAGGACAGGCACCAATGCTACACAGAGAAACCCTGTCTTGAAAAGAAAAGGGGAAAAAAAAAAGGTGTGTGCCACCACTGCCCAACCTTACCATGATTTTTTATTCTTGGACAGTTTCGCGTGTGTATAGTGTATGTGTTCACATGCCCATTCTCTTCCCTTATCCCTCTCCTACTGGAACCTGTGCTCTTCCTACCTTCATTTAAAAAACAAAAACAAAACCACTGAACTTAAGTAGAGTGCTGCCATATGCATGGGTATGGGGTTGTACACTAGATTATGGGTCACTTAGTGGCAGCCATACCCCTGAAGAAAAATGACCCCCCCTGCCCTAGCAGCCTTTAATTACTAGTAGCCCTTCAGCTAGTAGGAAGGCCACATGTGCCCCTCTCCAGTCCATGCTGGGACGCTGCTGGGCCAGATCCTGTGCAGGTCTTGTGTGTAGTGACCACAGCTGCCATGAGTTAGTTCATGAGTGTACCAGCGTATGCCCTTCCTCTCCCAGGCTGGGATGTTGGCATGCTCAGTCTTATCCTGATATTGTGGAGCCTTAAGTCAGGAACAGCAGCTGCTGTGAGGTCATGAGTACAGTATCCGGGTTGGGGATTTAGCTCAGTGGTAGTGCGCTTGCCTAGCAAGCACAAGGCCCTGGGTTCGGTCCTCAGCTCTGACCAAAAAAAAAAAAAGGTGTGGATCATCATGAGTACAAGTATCCATGTTATGTTCAGAAGACTGTGTGGTACACACTCCTTGCCCTCTTGATTTTACACTCTTTCCTCCCCTTCTTCCACAACGTGCCCTAAACCTTGGAAAGGTGATGCGCATCCTGTTTATGGCTGGACATTGGACAGCTTCTTATTCTCACCAGGATAGATTTTAAGTCCAGCATTTCCTGAAAATTCCTGTTGGGAATGTTAGAATTTGATTTCCCTTTTTTTTTTTTTTTTTTTTTTTTTTTTTTTTTTTTTTTGTAATAATGCTGCAAAGATGTCTTTCTTTCTTCTTAGGTCTGGGTGGCCTTGGTTTCCTAATGGTGGCAGGGATGTGGCCAAATAGTCTTTGCCTTCTTATGTGTATGGTAGGTCTAAAGAATAGAAAATAACAATAAAACTGGGTGTGGTGGAGTGTGCCTGTTGTCTCTGTTCGCTGTAGCTGGAGACAGGAGAACCAGAAGTTCAAAGTCATCCTTATGTTCTCCAGGCTGTTTAAGACTATCCTGGGATCATGAGAATGTCAAAGTAAAGGGATAGGAAGGTACCCAAGTCAGCAGAACATCTGTATGAAGCCCGATGATCTGAGTTCAGATCCACAGAACTCAAAAAGGGGCCAGGCTTTATCTATCTATCTATCTATCTATCTATCTATCTATCTATCTATCTATCTATCTATCATCTTTTGGTGCCTGTGATCACAGTGCTGAGAGGGTAGAGCCAGAGACGGATAGATCCCTCAAGTTCATTGGCTAGCCAGCTTAGCTTGATGAGTGAGCATCAAGTCCAGTGAGAAATCCTGGCTCAAAAACTAAAGGTAGAGAGCAATTAAGCAAAGATACCTGATGTTGACCTCTGCCCTCCACACATGTGTACCCACATTCATATCCACACATCTATATCCATCAAGTATGTATACCACACAGACAACCTAACATACACACCCCAACCTTTAAAAATACTAATCAGTAGGTGTCTTGTATACATATGGAAAATTATATAGGTCATAGGTGTACAAGAAATTTGTTTGTTTCTTTTATTTTTGAGACAGGGTCTCTACATAGCACTGGTTGGCCTTGAACTCACAGAGATCTGCCTGCCTTTGCTTCCCAAGTGCCGGGATTAAAGTGTGCACCACCATGCCAGGCTGAAATTTTTTTTTTTTAAATTTAATTTCATGTGTATGAATGTTTTGCCTGTAGGTATGTATGTGTACCATGTGTCTGCCAGGTGCCTGTGGAGGCCAGACGAGGGTTTCAGATCCCCGGAACTGGAGTTAGAGATGGTTTTGAGCTACCATGTAGGTGCTGGGAATTGAACCCAGGTCCTCTGCAAAAGCAACAAGTGCTCTAAACTGTTCAGTCACGTCTTCAGCACCCAGGAATGAAATTCTGATGTATTATATGACATGAATGAATCTTAAAAGCATTTTACTAAGCCTGACATAAAAGGATTAATGCTGGAAGATTCTAGTAAATGAGCTGCCACCAATAGACAAATTCCTAGACACAGAAAGTAGAGGTTTCCCGGAGAGTAGAAAGGGCAGATGGGGATGAGTGTTCAGTGTGTAGAGATTCAGCATGGGGAGGTGGACAGTGGTGATGGCCTGCCTACCTCTACCTCCACAGAGTGCTGGCATTAAAGAAAGGTATGCACCACTATGCCCAGCCCCAATCTTTTTAATTATTATTATTATTACTATTTTTTTTTTTTTTTTTTTGAGGCAGGATCTGACTGTGCTGTCCTGGGCCAGCCTGGAACTCACTGTGTAGACCAGGCTGGCCTCAAACTCCAGAGATCCATCTGCCTGTGTCCTGTAAGTGTGGATGTTGGGATTAAAGGCATGTGCCTTTAAGATTGTATGTGACATATATTCTACCAAAATTTGTTGAAGCCAGTAATTTGAAACTGCCACTTAGGAATTTGTGAGGCACATATAGTTTACAGTGGACCAGAATGCCACTTTTTAAAAAACGTATTTATTTTACATCCTGACAGCAGTTTCCCGTCTCTCTTCGCCTTCCATTCCCTTCTCCCCTCTACTCCCCCTACACCTCTGTTTCTGTGCAGAAAGGGGCTGGTCTCCCATGGGTGTCAACAAAGCATAGCTCACTTAGTTGCAGTGAGACTGAGTGCCTCCCCTTGTATTAAGGCTGGGCAAAGCAACCCAGTCTGAGGAACAGGTTCCCCAAGCCAGCCAGAATGCCGCTTTTCTAGAACGTTTCCATTGTGCCTTCCTGGGGAGCTGGCAGTGAGTCTGGCTGTCATCCTTGACTCGGGCCCAGAGTTCCTCCTGCTTGAGAATGTGGTACACCACTTCAAGTACCCCTGTGTGCTGGACCTGAAGATGGGTACCCGGCAGCATGGGGATGATGCGTCAGCTGAGAAGGCAGCCCGGCAGATGCGCAAGTGTGAGCAGAGCACATCTGCCACGCTGGGGGTCAGGGTCTGCGGCATGCAGGTGAGTCACTACTGGCGGGAGCCCAGGTGCTGCAGAGTGCATGGTTTAGCTTGTGCCCATACCTGCCTGACACCCGTGTCCTCCTGGCCTGCACTGTTCCAGAATCTCCTCTGAAAGGGTGAGTCACCCTCAGGGTGCTGAGTGTGTCTTTACAAGTGGGTTCACTGAGCCCTGCTCTCCTCACTTGACTGAGATTGAGCTCCATGTGCAGGGTCATGGAGAGAGCCTGTTGCCTTATCACTGGGCAAGGAAGACTTGTCCGTCAGCAGTGCATTCCTAGTCAGAGTTAGCGGGGCCCTGGGACAGCTGGAGGCAGGCTTCTGAAGTGATGGCTATAGGCCTGGTGTTGGCTTTCACAGCTCCATGACGGGAAAACCTGGGGTGAATGTGGCCTCCCTACTCCAGTAGGAGGAGCTGAAGAGCTCAGGTTGGTCAGAGTGCCTTGCAGACTGTTTTGTTTGTTCGTTTGGTCGGGTTCTTTGTTTTCTTGTTTTTGTAATTTTTTGCTTGGGGGCACTTGGTGGCCATCAAACCTTCCTGGTACTCAACCCGGTCTTGTCTCCTGGGGTTTCAGGTCTACCAGCTGGACACAGGTCATTACCTCTGCAGGAACAAGTACTATGGTCGGGGACTCTCCATTGAAGGCTTCCGCAATGCGCTGTATCAATACCTGCACAATGGCCTGGACCTGCGCCGTGACCTCTTTGAACCTATCCTGAGCAAACTCCGGGGCCTCAAGGCCGTGCTGGAGCGGCAGGCCTCCTACCGCTTCTACTCCAGCTCTCTGCTCGTCATCTATGATGGCAAGGAGTGCCGCTCTGAGCTCCGACTCAAGCACGTGGACATGGGGCTCCCAGAGGTGCCACCACCCTGTGGCCCCAGCACTAGCCCTAGCAGCACCAACCTTGAGGCTGGTCCCTCTTCTCCGCCCAAGGTGGATGTCCGCATGATTGACTTTGCACACAGCACATTCAAGGGCTTCCGGGATGACCCCACTGTTCATGATGGGCCGGACAGAGGTTATGTGTTTGGTTTGGAGAATCTTATCAGCATCATGGAACAGATGCGGGACGAGAACCAGTAGGCCCAGTTCTGGGCCCTAAGACCCGTTCCTCTCCACCCACAGGCAGGGACCATTGCTCTGAACTTGCTGTGAGGACACACTGACTTGCTTTTAAAGGGTTATATTTCTCTTTGGTGTAAACTAAAAGAAATGTTTTTAGCTGTAGCCTGGAATCTATCTATCTATCTATCTATATATACACACATATATATATAAAAGTAAAGGAGGGCAGAACATACGTCCTCTCAGCCAGGCTCCTTAGCTTTGTGGCTCTGCTGTGTCCAGGCTGACTCAGGAAGGAAGAGGTGACCCCAGTGGGCTCGGCAGCAGAGACAGAATGCCTTTGAACTTTGGTTCCCTTGCCTAAGGTTTTTGGGATCTGTGGTTATAGGGCTCTGCTGATTGTGAGGTGAAGCCCTTGGCTGGCACAGGGTCTCTCCATGCTATTCATCCCTTACTTCCCAGAGTTGGGGAAGGTTAAGTGCCCGTTTCTTGGGGCCTTTCCAGTTTTGTGCCAGTGCTTGATGAGCAGCTGCCCTCAGGGCATTACAGGGCTGACTGCGCAGATGGACTCATTCTTGGGTCTGATTTTGGCATGGGGCTAGATTTGTGAAGCTGAGCTAAGGCCAACTCACAGCAAAGGGCAGGCCCTGGGCTCCCTAGGCACCCACTGGCATGTAAACTTGCTCTTCTGTCCACAACCCCAGCCAGCCTCTCGCCTCGATTGCTTGCCTAAGGAGGCCACATATCCTCCTATCCCAGTGAGGTGGGCACAGTTCTGTTTGCTGAGGAGAGTGAGTGTCCCCGTAGGCCTAGGGGTCTGTAATGGCTCTCGCCTAGACAGTATTTGCAGTTCTTGGGCTTTGGGTGGTGCCCCTCCCTCTAGTTTGGGCAGCTGTGCTGCCTCTGGATGGGCTGTTCCTCCCAGGGCTCAGGGTCTGTGCTCTGCTCAGGGTCTTGTCTTCTCCAGGCCAAGCTCAAGGCAGCAGCCTGTTCTGTGGTATTCCAGGCTCTAGGCTTGGAGGGAGAACTTTAAACTTGTCTGCTTTTATGGACATAGGACCCTGGGTACAGGTGCCCAGAGTCTGCTGCGAGCTTTGTCTGGTTAATCCTGGGTCTGTCAGTTCATTTGTCTGCCTGCCAGCCTGTTTTGTGGTGAGCTTTCTGGGGTATAGCCTTGTTGATTAGTATATATTGATCTTGTTCATGCTCGCCTCAGCAGAGTATTCTTTCCCTTTTCTGAGGTGAGCCTTTGCCCCTGTGCCCTTCCTTAGCGGGTTCTGCTGTCTTACAAAGCTGTTAGCAGAATGACCCATAGTGGTGTTCACCTGCTGGCCTGGTGGCCCTCTTTTGGGCCTGGGGTGTGGCCGTCAACACCAACAGTGAGGCAGCTGTGAAGGCTCAGGGCTGATCCTGACCCATTGCTGTCTTTTTGCTACCAGCCCTTTGATGGTAGAGACCTGCTGCCTGTAATGTAGGTGTCCTACAGGTTACACTACACTTAGCCATTGCCAAGGTGAGCAGCCGTCTCCAAGTCTGTGGCCAGTGGTCAGCACTTCTGACAGGTCTGTTTTGGCATTTGAAGATAATCCTGCCAACCTTTGAGAGATACTGGTAACTAATGGCATAATATCCTGGTTCATAGAGATACAGCTCTGGAAAGGGCTCCTTGATGGACCCCAGTCTTGGTCTTCTGACCCTGGTGCCAGTGGTGGGCAGGTTCCCATTCCTTAGGGCTGGGAGGCCCAGCTTTGCCCATTTCTGGTTAGTAACAACTGTCTTCTGTCCAGTAGTATTCTGTTGCTTCAGCCATGGGGGCAGTAAGTGTTCATTAGTGTAGACACATCTTCTCTGCCAGGATAGAGGTTAAGAGAGGTTTGGGGCCATGGATGACCTCCTAGGAATGTGCTGTACTTCCGCAGTTACCAGATTTGGGGAGGCACTGCCCCATTCTGCTGCTGCTCATGTAGCAAGGGAGACGGTACCCACTTACATTGCGAGTTCTGCCAATACAGCGTGGAAAGGCTGGGGTTTGCTGCTTCTCCTTAAGGGCAGGGCCCAACTCTTCAGCACCTTTGATATCTGGAGGGCCAGTTCCTTTATCTGATAGGTGGTGGCAGGTGTGTAATAACACTTTCCACCATTGTTCTTCTGCCTGCCCGAGGCTAGAGCCCTGTCCCCAACAGGCCCTGCCTTCCCAGCCCCAATTTGGGACCAAAGTGCAACTCGGGATCATGGGTTGGGGAGCTCAGATTGCCTGCCCCTCTCCATAGTATTTCCCTGGGCTAAGCCCACACCAGCCCGGGAGATGGGTGGGAGTGAAATGGGATGGGTGGTGCTTAAAGAGGAAAGGGACCAGTGTAGTAACTAACTTGCCTGGGGACCCCCCCCCCCCCCCAGCTTTGGGCCTGTGCAATGGGCCTGAGGATTCTCTAAGGCCAGGGCCTGGGCTAGTTCAGTATCCGCTGCTCATTCGCTCACATCTGGCAACATGCACGTTCCCTAGATGCAAACTGCTTTGAATTTACAGCTGTGTAAGTTGGTTGTGTGTGTGCCCATTTTAAAAAACTGCATTTTAATGAGGAAAAATGAGAACCCGGGGAAAGTTCCTTTGCTCTTGTGGAGGAAATGTAAGACTTCGAATTCTGGAAATTGTTCTCTGCTCCTCTTTCCTGGAAGCTACACACCTGCCTACATACCCTAAGACCTGCGCCTGGATACACACGTGGCTCCATTGGCGTTTAGGCGCGCTTGCGTTTCCCCGGGTCTTGTGTGTGATGGAGAGGAGTACTTGGCCCGAGCCGGCTCCTTTCTGTACACCCTGCGCTACCCGCCCGCTTGTGTCAGGTCGTATATGTCAAAATAAAGCCTCTCGAAACTGAACTCTGTCCAAGTCGTGAAACTTTCTCAGCCTCCGGGTGGGCTGACCCGTGTAGCAGTAGCTCACCGTCTTGTTCTCCACCTGAGGGGAGACGCCGAGTCGGAGCTGGGGGACCGAGTGAGCTGGGTCAGGACGGGTGCAGAAGGACGGGGCCCGAGCTGGGGGGCAGCACCCGAGCGGCTGGAGGTGGGGGTCGTCAGGGTGGAGCCGGAGCGGGGGTGGGGGTGGAGAAGGCAGCACCGGCTGGGCGGGGCGGAAGGCGGCTGCCTCGTGGCGGACCCAGTTCCGATAGGAAGCCAAGCTAACTCCTCCAGTTCCGCCTTGAGATCCGCCAATGGGCATCTGACCCGCGAGTTCTCCGGGTCCCCATGGCAGCCCAGCGCGTTGGGAATCTAATTGGCTACGTCTGTCGTAGCGTAACGCCGGGCGGTCGGCTGCGGACGGCCCTGCCACGTAGACAGCAGCCGATTGGCTCTTCCAGGTTACGTCACTGGCTGCGCCGCCTCCGGCCGGAACTCCGGGCCAGCCGGTCTCCAACCAGTTCCTCCTCCGGTGTTCTGGCTGCCCCTAGACCCCACATCTAGGTAGAGCAGGAGGACGAGGTGAGGCCAGAGTCGGTCAGTCTGGCTGGGGAAGGACACGAGGCAGGGCACGGCGGCGGGAGTGCGCGGCAGGCGTCCGTCAGGCGGCCTGTAGGTACTTTGGAGCCAGGGACCCACTCCTCTCACCCGCAGGCGCGATGAAAGCACTGATCTTGGTAGGTGGGTATGGGACACGGTTGCGGCCGCTGACGCTGAGCACCCCGAAGCCATTGGTGGACTTCTGCAATAAGCCTATTTTGCTGCATCAAGTGGAGGCGCTTGTCGCGGTAAGGTCCTGGGTCAGCTATGGCGGGAAGAGGGGCAGATAGTGACTAGGAGGCCAGGGGTGGTCATACCGTGTGACCGAGCCTGTCAATTAGCCCACCTTATTGTGTCTGACAGGCAGGTGTGGACCACGTGATCCTGGCAGTGAGCTACATGTCACAGATGTTGGAAAAGGAAATGAAGGCACAGGAGCAGAGGGTGAGGCATGCGTGGACTTAGTCCTTTCTTTTGGTCCCTGGGGCTTGGCTGACTATTGAGGAACAATATAACCAGATGACTTTTTCCTTTTAGCTTGGAATCCGAATCTCCATGTCTCATGAAGAAGAGCCTTTGGGGACAGGTCAGTAGAAAAAGGAAGGCTTTGGGGCAAGATTTAGGGTCAGTAAAGGGGTATTAGCCAATCTGAATGAGTGTCTCCGGAGTCTGGACTCAAGGTCCTAGGCCTCTAGCACGGTGGTAACATATGACTTGTCCCCTTCTCTAGCTGGGCCTCTGGCACTGGCCCGAGACCTGCTCTCTGAGACCGCAGACCCTTTCTTCGTTCTCAACAGTGATGTGATCTGTGATTTTCCTTTCCAAGCCATGGTACAGTTTCATCGACACCATGGCCAAGAGGGCTCCATCTTGGTAAGAGACCAAGCCTTCCTTCTGTGACTTCCCCACCCTCATACCCAGTTGCTCCTAACCCTCAGTCTTAAACTCTCCGTGTTGTGTAAAGCTGAGCAGAATATTTTGGGGGCAAAGCCTTTGAGAGGTGGGCTAGGCACGTGTCTCAAGGGTAAAGAGCACTACTGGACTAGGCCTAAGGTACACTCCACCTTCATATTCAGGTAACCAAGGTGGAAGAGCCTTCCAAGTATGGTGTGGTGGTATGTGAGGCTGACACAGGCCGCATTCACCGTTTTGTTGAGAAGCCGCAGGTATTTGTCTCCAATAAGATCAACGCAGGCATGTATATCCTGAGCCCTGCTGTACTGCAGCGCATCCAGGTGTGTAGGAGAGAACGGCCGGGCGGGTCGGGGGAGCAGGCCTCTGTTGGATGACCTGCTTACGAGTTGCCCACTTCCACAGCTGAAGCCTACATCCATTGAGAAGGAGATCTTCCCAGTTATGGCCCAGGAGGGGCAGCTATATGCCATGGAGCTTGAGGGTGAGGCAGAGAGGCCATAGGGTGAGGGGTAGTCTGTGGCTAGGCAGAGCCCTCTCATTCATCTCTCCCTACAGGTTTCTGGATGGACATTGGCCAGCCCAAGGACTTCCTCACTGGCATGTGCCTCTTCCTGCAGTCGCTGAGACAGAAGCATCCAGAGAGACTATACTCAGGCCCTGGCATTGTGGGGAATGTACTTGTGGTGAGGCCCCTGCCCAGCCTGTCACTAATCCTCTCAGGTCTGGGAGACAAATGACCCACTCTCACTTTCCTCAACACTCTCAGGACCCAAGTGCCCGTATTGGTCAGAACTGCAGCATTGGCCCCAATGTAAGCCTGGGTCCTGGTGTGGTGGTGGAGGATGGCGTGTGCATCCGGCGGTGCACAGTGCTTCGGGATGCTCACATCCGCTCCCACTCCTGGCTTGAGTCATGTATCGTGGGCTGGCGCTGCCGTGTGGGTCAGTGGGTAAGTGTATGAGCTGGGCTGGGTGGGGACAGGACCAGGGGATCTGTGTGCCCCATTAACAAGGCTTACTTCCCCCACCCCCAGGTACGCATGGAGAACGTAACAGTGCTGGGTGAAGATGTCATAGTTAATGATGAACTCTACCTCAACGGAGCCAGTGTGCTGCCCCACAAGTCTATTGGGGAGTCGGTGCCAGAGCCTCGCATTATCATGTGAGGAACGTATAGGGCTGGCCACGCCCCTCTTGACCAGCAGTGGTGTAGCAGTCACTCAACACTTCACAAGACCCCGGACATGGTGCCATTTGTCTAGGGAGGAATGGGGGAATCTGAAGCTGTTGTACATCTGCTTCTGTTGGGGCCAGAAACGGACAGGATCCTGCTGGGTATAACCCACAAGCCCCACTCCCACAAGAAGAGCTGGGGCCAGGGCTGTATGGAATAATAATTTAATGCTCGCTGTAGCCTGGATTGCAAGTCAAGCTCAGGCATGATTAGGGCCATGGCTGGGCTCCCACCAATGAGGCTACACCCAGGCAGATGGATGGAGGTGGTAAGAGTGAGGGTGAGGGGAAACGGGGCCGAAAGAGCTCATAACTGGAGCTCGGTCTGGGTCCGCTGGCGGAGGTTCCAGGACAGTGCAAGCTGTGTGCATTAGGCTGGCCTAGGCAGCCGAGGAGGTGGCACTGGTGTTGGCTGCCTTGTCCCAGTCCTCTACAGATGTAATGGTGGTTTTGCAGAAGAAGCAGTCCTTGTTGTTCATCAGGTGCTGGTTGATGCAGGCTCTACAAGAGGGGGGCGGGGGTGAGCCCTGCCTTGTGCCCTAGTTGCCTCCCCAAGTCCATGGGGCCCACTTACTTGCAGGACTTGTGGCCACAAGGCTGGAACACAGCGGAGATGGGATGGGCATAGCAGATTGGGCAGAGGTCCTCTTCACTGGTGGGCTAGGGGGTGGAGAGTGGAGAGTGGGTTGGGGCTCTACCTGTACCTACCCTGGTGTGTACAAATGGATTAAATGGCATGAGCCTGTGTGGTCTAGCCCCACTCACCAAGGAGGCAGCTGCTGCCTGGGCAGACGCAGCGGTCAGGTGTGCCAGCATCTGCTCCACCTGGGCCAGCTCCTCGGCACTGATGTAATCTGTATCTGGGTTAGTGGGAGGTGGGGTCAGTCCCTTGTAGGCCTAGAACTCAGTGCCTCTTGAATACTCCCGGGCAGGGAATTTGCTATTCCTGAGGATCCTGAGCTCAGGAAATCCTGAAACTCTTTCCTGACCCACCCCTGGCCCACTTACAACTTTGTAGAGAGAAGCGTTTCCGGTCAGGGGCAGGCAAGGCTGTACCGGGTGCTAGGGGCTCTGGCTGCCCCAGGAGATAGCATATGGAACGGAGCTGGAAGCAGGGGTCAGCCAGGAGCACAGAGGTGGCTTGCTCTGTCCTAGACAGGGGAAGGTGCACAGGTAGTGAGTGGGAAAGCTTGAGCCTATGAAAACCGTCTCCATGGTGGGCGGGTGACAATCATGACAATCACCAGAGGCCTCATTTTCATGCCTTCGTTCTTTGCATCTTGTTGCTTACCAACACTCTCAAGTCCTGGGTCCCAGTAGGTCCCAAACGACCTGCGTTCCAGTTAAAGGGAAGAGGGTGCTGTTGGGGGCTCATAGAGTAAAAGATGCTGGCTACCAAACACGACAGCTTGAATCCGATCCCCAGGACCCACAGAATGGAAGGAAAAACCCACGCCCACCAGTTGTCTTCCGACTTCTGCATGAGCACCCACATACACACACCAACACACAAAGAAGTCAATCTAAAGGGAGAAGGGGGAGGATTCCCCCTAACCCATAATACATTACTCCTTCAAAATCACTTAGAGAACATTAGCTACAAAAAGACATTCTCCCCAGACTTGGGGCCTTTTGCTCTTCAAGAGGGAAGCCGGCTTCCAGCCAAGAGAACTGGAACGCTGGGGCCCTCTGGTGGCCGCGCTGAGTCTTCAAGTGCCAGGGCATGTGGCTGCTCCACCCCTCAATAGCAGGAGCCAATGGGAGCTTGGGTCCCCACCCCTGAGCAGTCACTTCCTAGCGAGTACTTAGAATCCAGTCAGAAAAGCGCTTGGAGAAGCTAGCGGAACTGAAAGGAGGGCTGGGGCCCCACCTCATAATCCCAGACCAGAAGAGCAGAAGCTAGCTGGGCGGGTGGAGCCGGCACTGTGCCTCTCAAGCCATGGGCCCTTGGGAACTACGATCGGCAAGCCTGTACAGAAGCAGGTGAGTCCTGGAGCTGTTGACCAGCACTAAGCTGCCCCCATCTCTAACCTGGTGGTCACTGCCATGGCCTGGCTGGTGGTGCCAGGCATACTACTGTGCATGTTGGGTGCTGGATTAGGCACCTTGGATTTGGAGGACGTTCTGCCCCCCGCTCCCCACAACTGCCCCAATAAATGCATCTGTGCTGCCGATGTGTTGAGCTGCGCGGGCCATGGGTTAGAGGACGTGCCGGTGTTACCTGCCACTGCTGCA